CCGGGATCCGAACCCGGGCCGCCAGTAGCGGAGCGTGCACACTTAACCACTAAGCCATGGGGCCGGCCCCCAAGCCATGTCTTTCTAATAAGTAGTGGCCATGGATTTGAGGGCACCATGGATGTCATATCATTCTTGGAGTTTGCCCTCATAGTTCTGTTACCTTCACTACTCAGAGGACTGTCTGCCTTTTCCAGGGTAATAACTGATAGGTGCCCTTGTCCCTCCTCTTAAGTATTTCTCCTATACCTAGTGCTTGGTTGCCAAGATAGTGCTTGTGGCACCAGGAAGGGAAGACTCTCTATTCTCCCTGCTTCCTTGAGTGGAAACTGTGCAAAAAATGCCTTCCGAAATTAGCTTATTGTTTTAATGGTCCCAAGATCTTTAGACAGCTAGCTAATGTCCGTCTCATGGAGAAGGGGTATCCTAAGCCAGATATGATCCAATCCCATGACTTGATCTGTATCCTGCAGGGCATGGCCTTTCTCCATAACAGCATTATTGCATCCCATGGGAGTCTCAAGTCTTCCAACTGTGTGGTGGATAGTCGTTTTGTGCTCAAAATCACAGACTATGGCCTGGCCAGCTTCCGATCAACTGCTGAACCTGATGACAGCCACGCACTCTATGCCAGTGAGGCCTTCCCCCACAACCCACTTTTATATTGCTCCTCTGGCCCTGATCATTTCCACCTAGGGAGGGTGGGAGAGGGAGATGGAGTGACAGGAATATGGGGAACATTGTGAGAATGAGCCCAGGTGGGATTGGGGATACTCTTTTTGAGGACCTGGCCAGCATGTTCCTTCTTTTCAGAGAAGCTGTGGACTGCCCCAGAACTGCTCAGTGGGAACCCCTTGCCTACCACAGGCATGCAGAAGGCTGATGTCTATAGCTTTGGGATCATCTTACAGGAGATAGCACTTCGCAGTGGTCCTTTCTACTTGGAGGGCTTGGATCTCAGCCCCAAAGGTGAGAAACAGTCTACTACCCACAGGCCTCTCTACCTGGGGGGCCCTGTTCTTCATTCAAACCCTTTATCACCCTCAGAGATTGTCCAGAAGGTCCGAAATGGTCAGCGGCCATATTTCCGGCCAAGCATTGACCGGACCCAACTGAATGAAGAGCTAGTTTTGCTGATGGAGCGATGTTGGGCCCAGGACCCAGCTGACCGGCCAGACTTTGGACAGATTAAGGGCTTCATTCGCCGCTTTAACAAGTGAGAGGGCACTAAAGGGTGGGGCTCCCCAGGGATAGAAGCCTCATCAGTCTTAGTGGATGAGGTGGGGCTGGTGGGGCCAAGAGAGTGGGTTGGGTAGGAAGTCCTGGGAGTCTTGAGAATCTTGGAGCAGGTACCATATCCTGGCTTCCCCCCAGGGAGGGTGGCACCAGCATATTGGACAACCTCCTGTTGCGCATGGAGCAGTATGCCAATAACCTGGAGAAGCTGGTGGAGGAACGCACACAGGCCTATCTGGAGGAGAAACGCAAGGCTGAGGCTCTGCTCTACCAAATTCTACCCCAGTGAGACTTTTGTCCCCTTTCTCGAAGTTCCCTTTGGTGTTCTGCTCTGGGTTCTGCCTCGTCAAGCTCCTGAGAACTCACTTCCCAACCCTTAGAACCTTGCTTTGTTACATCTTGCCACAGTGAGCCTTTCTGGCTATAGACTATGTATTTTCATTCTGTCTCCAAATGAGCAGTGCCGCCTTCTTTCTGGATTCCCATTCCTTCTTCTTAGACACTGCTCTACTATGCCTTTGCTCCAGCAAGTGTTTGTAGAACAATCCCAACTTGAGACATTGAGCCCCCATCCCCAGGGATCCCCTTCCATCCCTCATCACTTGTACACCTTACCTTGCGCTAGACTGTAAAGTCTTCCCAGCCACCTTCCTTGTCCTTCACCAGGCTCTGCTTTCACGTTAGAACTCACCTCTGCTCCAGGCATACACTCCTTTCCTCTCTCTCCTTTCTATCTTCTTTCCCTGAGTTTGGCTCAAATTGCACCCTTGCTTCCTAGTTCAGTGGCAGAGCAGTTAAAACGGGGAGAGACTGTACAGGCTGAGGCCTTTGACAGTGTTACCATCTACTTCAGTGACATCGTTGGCTTCACAGCTTTGTCAGCAGAGAGCACCCCTATGCAGGTGAGAGCTATGGGTGAGAAATAGGGGGCAGGACAGGGACCTGGGGAAGCTTCATTGGGGCACAGGGATCCTCAATAATAGGTAAGATTAGTTTGTTCTGAAGTTCCCATATCTTGTTATGGCTTGTGGGTTAAGAATTCTTAGAAAGTTGGGCACACGTCTTAGGGCCTCTGCTCTCCCATCCCTGTTAGGTGGTGACACTTCTTAATGACCTGTATACCTGCTTTGATGCCATAATTGACAACTTTGACGTCTACAAGGTGAGAGCTGGGGCTACCCTCCTACTGAGACCCCTTTAAAACCCAGTCTCCCTGAACCCCACATACCTTACCTGCTCTATGGTCGATTTCCCTCCTGAGTCTCCAGAATCCTAGTGCTGGAGTGCCCTCTGTAGACAAATGAGGCTCTGGCACTCTAATTGTACATCCCAGTCTAATTTCTGGTGAATCCTTAGGCTTCCCTAATCGGAAACATCACAAGATTTAGCCTCTATTTGCCACTTTTTGCCTGGGGGGGTATAAATATAGCTTATCCATCTTTTCTCTTCTCTCCATCCCCTCCAGACATGGAAGAATCATACAGGATGTGGGTACAGAATGATTTATTGGAGTGAGGGACAAGCTTTGTTGTAAAAGCTTTTTGTTGAAGTCATTGAGTTGGCACAGACAGGGTGGGTTTTATTGTGCTTAGGAATAAAAATAATCTGGATTTGAATATTGGCTTTGTAGCTCACTGTGTGGCCTTGGGCAAGCAACAGAAGCTCGCTGAGCCTCAGATGTTTTTTCTGTGAGATGGGAATAATAGATTTATTGTGGAAAGTGCCTAACATTGTGCAGATAATAAATATCCATTCCTGTCCCTTCCCTTTGGGCTTACTTTACCATCTCAACTGTTACTACTATAACAAAGATCTCTCATAAACCCTTTAACCCAGATTCACCAATTGTTTATATTTCCCCCCCTTTGCTTTATTTTTTAAAAATATATCTATATATCTATATAATTATTTTCCAAACCATTTGAGAGTAAGTTTCAGACATTGTGCCCCTTTGTCCCTCAACAGTTCAGTGTCTAGTTCCTAAAAACAAGAATGTTCTCTTACACAGCTTCAGTACAGTTAACAAAGCCAGGCGCCTGCTTTCTTGCATTTGACAGCTGAGGCTGTCTGAGGCCCACTTCACTGGGCCGGCCTGACCTCTTCACCAGCCTCTGTGCTCTTCCGGTCAGCCCTGTCTTCTTGCTTCCTGTTTCCTGACAGCAGAGCCTATCTGTCCACATCCTGTTGCAGACACGGTGTCCACTCATTCAGAAACGTTTACCGAGTATTCACCAGGTGCTGGGATGGGGCAGGAGGATTTAGATTCCCTTGAGTTCCTGTTCCCCCAGATTCTCAGGACCGTGGCACTTATTTTCTAATCGATGTTCTGGCCTCCAAGGCTGTCAGGATGACTCATAGGTCATGACTCGAGGTGTCCAGCTTGTCTCCTTCTACTCTTCCCCATTCCCACTGATACAGACAGAGGTGACCTTTTAATCCCCCTCGCAATCAGGTAGAGACGATTGGAGATGCCTACATGGTGGTATCTGGTCTCCCAGGCCGAAATGGTCAACGCCATGCCCCGGAAATTGCTCGTATGGCCCTAGCGTTACTGGATGCAGTTTCTTCCTTTCGCATCCGCCACCGACCCCATGACCAGCTGAGGCTACGCATAGGGGTCCACACAGGTAAGGCTGACTCTCACTCCAGCCCAAGGATCTACTTTTCCCAGGCTCTCTCAACCTGTTTCTTCTCATAGGGCCCGTCTGTGCTGGGGTCGTTGGCCTGAAGATGCCCCGCTATTGTCTTTTTGGAGACACGGTGAACACTGCTTCCCGAATGGAGTCTAATGGTCAAGGTGAGACATTAGCCCTCAACCCCAGCTTCAGCCTCAATCTCTATTGCCCTTTTCTTCCCTTCAGAGTTCCTTCACATCTCTCAGTCTGAGAGACCACAGTTCCTGACTGCCCCAACCTTGGACATATTTTGGTTCTAGTGCATGTGCAATGGGAAGACTGAGAGCCTCCTGAGAGGTGGTGGTTGGGTAAAGCTCTCTGATACCGGCAGTTCCTCTGTTGCCTTTTCTTTGATTCTTTTTTCCACCATCCCACCCATCCCACCCCAGCCCTGAAGATCCATGTCTCCTCTACCACCAAGGATGCCCTGGATGAGCTAGGATGCTTCCAGCTAGAGCTTCGGGGGGATGTGGAGATGAAGGTGATGGCAGGCCATGGGGAGGGGGCCAGGGGCCATGGAAAGGGAGGATGAAAGTGATTATGAGGATCATGGGGGAAGAGAGGGAGATAAAGGGAACAACGTAGAAGAATCTGAATTATCTCCACTGCCCTCCAGGGAAAAGGGAAGATGCGAACTTACTGGCTTCTAGGAGAACGGAAAGGACCTGCTGGACTCCTGTAAACCCCACTTCTTCCCAAGTCAGACAATCTACTGTTGCCCATACCTGGGTGGGCAGTGGCCGCCATCTCTCCACACACCAGAAATGGACATTGTCACATGAGATGGAAACCAACGTGCATAAAACCCTACCTTTTATGGAAGTGGTTGCCCTCCGCAGCTCAGCCTTGTACATATACCTGCCCCTCTCTGTCCTGGTCCTCTTTCTCCCTACCTGATGTAAATATCTGTATCTAAACCAGAATATTTTGGCCAAATATAAAACAACAAAAAAAGTGATGGTATGATAGTCTGGGTTGGGGGCAACTCCAAGGAAAGCTTATGGGGTATGGACACAGTAACTCACAGAATCACTAAATTAGCAGTCTCAGGATGAGAGAGAACCCTTTATGTCAAGCCCCTTCACCAAACACAGACAGAATCCACTTCCTCCCCACCTCTCCAGTCCAGACAGAAATAGATTCCATATTCCACATCCCACTTCCCTCCTCTACCCTTAGACAGGAGTAGTTCTACCCCCTCCACCCTTCGGCCCTCCTCCCTGACAGGCAAGGGAAGATATTTCTCCCAACTGGTGGGAATAATTCTCAGGTTCATAGGGCAAAGGCTGCCCCAGAGACAAAGGCACTGGTGTTGAGAAGCTGCAGTTCTTCCGGAATGGCATGTCCAGTGTCTTGATGTTACTGACACCCTGGAGGAGGGCCAGAATGAGGACAGATCCCATGGCTCGCCGCCAAGCGAGAACAGAACAGCCTCTTCCTTGCCTTCTTTTCCCCCACTCCCAACACCCGATCACCCTCACACACCGGTAGCTGTGGTGCCCTCTGTATCCAGAAGGTTTCAGGCTGCTCCTGACGGTAGTCGTGAGGCTGTGAGGGAGAGATACTGAATAACTCTTGGCCTGAAGCTGCCTCTCTCAGTCTCTGGGCCTGCTGCTTTCCCACAGCCCTTCAGAGCCCAGCTGTACAAGCAGGGTGGGATGGCTTCTCACCTTTGTTGGGGCAGGAGGCCCTACTTGGATCAGCTCCTTTCGGTAGTCATGGTGTGTCACAGACTCAACCTCACAGTTCTTCCTTGTGGGTTCCTGCTCTGCCTGCACCTCTTTACTGTACAGAACTTGGGGGTATGAAGGCCAGTCTCCCCTGGTTTTTGTCTTCCTCCTCCCCTTTTCCCTTTACCCAGCCTCTCACCCGATCTGGTGCCGTAGGAGCATCTCCAGCATGGCTTCACGCTTCCCTGCGGGAGGGCAGGAAATGGACAAGAGTAGGGGAGGCTGGTTAAGAAGCAGGCTCAGGGGCCGGCCCCGTGGCTTAGCGGTTAAGTGCGCGCGCTCTGCTACTGGCAGCCCGGGTTGGGATCCTGGGCGCGCACCGACGCACCGCTTCTCCGGCCGTGCTGAGGCTGCGTCCCACATACAGCAACTAGAAGGATGTGCAACTATGACATACAGCTATCTACTGGAGCTTTGGGGAAAAAAAAAGGGGGGAGGATTAGCAATAGATGTTAGCTCAGAGCCAGTCTTCCTCAGCAAAAAGAGGAGGATTAGCACGGATGTTAGCTCAGGGCTGATCTTCCTCACCAAAAAAAAAGCCAGGCTCAGAAGAAAAAAATTTGAGAAAAGGAAGGAAAATCATGGGGTTTTGCCCTTATATCCATCCGACAATCCACAGCCCCACCAGAAATTCCTTCCTTTTATCTCTGACTAATAGACTCATTATGGCCCATTCTCTTATGCTTCACACCTCGAATTGGCTGATGGTGGTTTCCCAGGGACTGGTATGAGTCTTTCTGGGTGGTGGTGAAGGGCATGGGGGACTGTAGCTGCAGGGTCAGTAGTTCCTGGTGTCCACGTCGGAAGAAGAAACTCTCAGAGCCATCCTGCATGCTTGGGACTTGATCCAGGTGGTTGGTGGCTCTCTGTGGGTCCCAAGTTGAGTGACCATGAGATGCCTTCTGGCACCCACCCTCAACATAAACTCCCCCAGGAAACTGGGGGCAGCCTGCAAGCAAAGGGAGCAAATTCAAACCTTAATACCTCCTCTTCCCAGTTGTGGAGAAGGCACTGGCCCCGAGGCAACGTTTCATTGGGGACCTTATGTTTTCCTTCAATCTCAGGGGGCTTCCATAGCCCTCGGGCACCAGGTTCTGAGACTTGCAAACATTTCCAGGGTTGTTGTTTCTGAGGCTCCCAGTGGCTGTGGTGACCCCAGGGAGGGACCAGATCTGCCCTGGGGTTCCTAAAGCTTGGACGAGTGTAGGGGCTGTGCTCAGGGTCATGGCCACAGCCTAGACTATGCCTAGAGGCAGGACCAGTGCCTCGACCAGAGCCACAGCCAGGGTCAGAGCCACGGCCAGGAACAGAAGTGGAGCCAGGAACAGGGCCAGGGCTAGAGCTAAGATCATTTGTAGTACAGGGATCCTGAGCAATACAGGGAACATAGGCAGGCTCAAAGCCAAGTCTCCCATGGCCTGTCTGGTGGGTAAAGCTGGGTCCAGTGCTGGGCTCCCCAAGACGACTGTCAGAAGAGGGCTCCATGAGAAGGCTCTGCTCAGAGTAGGGCGCTGGTGTCTTTGCAGATAACACAGCTTCTTTGGCGGTGGAGGCAGCTGCTGTGGTTGTGGCTGCCAGGGCCGACTTAGGACTGCCATCCGAAGAAGGAAACGGTTCCAAAGTGGGCCCTAGTCGTTCGGAGCGGGACTGTGCGTCTACAGATCTGAAAGAAAGCCAATGTGTCCAAGTTGTCAAAAGCGCAGCAGAGGAAGTCCGCCGACCTTCCTTGTCCCCTGATGCCTGCAGCCAGAGCTGCGGCTCTCACCGCAACAGCGACCCCGCGGTACACTCGACTGTCTCCATCTTCAGACACCAGTTACCGGGTTGCCATAGAGATGGCAAACAATTCCAGAGACTGCGCAGAACGAGAGCTGGGCGGACTCGGAGGCAAATTCTCTGCGGGGCGGAAGTCGTAAACCTGGTGCGGTCTGGAAGGCCCGCTTTCCGTCCGGACTCCAATCCGCCTCAGCCCGGCTTTTAAGGTTCCGCTGGCCTATGGCCTCGCCCTCCACACCCAAGCACGGTTCTTGGCGACTTTCTAAAGTGGTTCTTTGTGTTGGAGACAGGCACAGGGCTGTGGCATCAGACAAAAGCCTACTTGGTGTTTGTGTGAGGGCAACAGTAGTTTCCCTTAGTTCATTCTCAAAAGTGGAGGGAGTCTTCTCAAAATTTTTAAGGATGAAAATGTCAGACAACAGCTTAAAAGCAAAACGGTGAGACATGGGATTAGTAAAAGGGTAGCAGCTTTTTTGGTGTGATTACTTCTCCAATAAAAGACCATCACATTGACCATCCTCCTCCAGACCCCCTTAGAATTTGTCTTGGCATCTGAATAAGGGTCAGGATTGCATAATTCTCACTCCTGGGTTTCAGACTCTTCTACACATTCAGGCTTATTCCTACTGCTACTTTTCTAAGAGCTTGTCCCAGGTGGACCACTAGTTATGAGGACTTAAGATCTATATAGGCAAACGCTCCTTCAATTACAGGGTAGGCCTCTTTAGTGTCTCACTCAGGCCATAGTCAAGGAGAATCATAGCCTCGAATCAGTTTTCTTTCCCATTTGTGGTATGTCTTCATGTATTTAAAACAGCAATCCAAAACTGAGAAAGAGCAAGTTTATTAGCATCACAGGGTCCCTTTTTCCCCACCCCAACCAAGCATCTGGGCCTGGGGTCCTTCATCAGTTGGTAGCTTCAACCTGGAGGCCACTGGAGCTGTCGGCCCCCAAGTACATGAATGTGCAGGTGATACACAGATTGTGCACCCAGCTTCCCATCGTTGATCACTGAAATGGAGCTTGGGGTTAGGGGATCATGGGATCCTGGGATCATGGGAAAGGTCAAAGAATGAAGATCACATTGAGGGGCAGGTATGAGAATTCACAGGTGAGGGGCTCAAGGGCCAAAAGTCACTCACCAAGTCGGTATCCATCTCCCAGCCCCTCAGCCTTTGCTGTCTCCTTGGCCACAAGGAGAAGGTGTCCTAGAAGCTACAGGCAAAGGGGAGAGAAACAGATGGCTTCATTCTCAAGAAGCAAAACCTCTAGCTAAGTCTAGGGCTCCCCCCAGCCAAAACTTTGCCCTGTTCTTCCCACCTGCTGGTCTCCTTCTTCAGCCAGGCTAATCCGAGGAATGGGCTTCTTAGGAATGACCAGGAAGTGCACAGGAGCCTGAGGGGCCACATCACGGAATACGAGACACTGGGAGCAGTGACAGGCCAGAGGCCACCATGTTACTTCAACAAGCTGGATGGTATCTATGAAATTCCTAAGGGGATGGGTCCTAAGGGCACCCCACCTGCTGGTCCTCATACAGAATGTCAGCTGGGAGGCTTCGATCCAAGATCTGGGAGAAGATGGTTGGGGCTGCTCCCCCAGGAGCTGCCTGCTGGGCCTTGGCCACTTCATTCCCATCAGTCACACCTGCAGCTCCTCGGACCTGAAGGTGGGTCAGACACACCCCAGGGAAGGAGTTGGCAATAGCTCTCCCATGTACTCTCAGGGATCGCAGGTAAAATAAAAATCTGTTCAGGGGAAAGGATCCAGAAAGAGAACCTGGAGACTTAGGTCCCAGTTCCTAGTTTACCATTGAAATATCTTATATAAATCCCTTTTCTCGGCTTCAACTATAAAATAAAGGGGGTGATTTGCATCACTTCTTAAGACCACTTGGAGCTCCTTCCATTTACTCTCACCTTGTTAATAAGTTTCCACTTATTTCCATTACTTGTTTTCTGATCTTTAAGCCGTGTTACTTGTTTTATTCAGGTTTTAATACAATTGCTCTGTTTGACACGAGGGCGTCTGGGTCTCACATTTGACCTCTTACAGTGAATTTTAACTCCAGTCTCTTGAATCAGTGGAGGGAAGAGTTAAGTGAACTCAGCAACTCCAGCGCCAGGGGATTGAGAGTAGGGAAGCCCCAGTTTGCCAGGGGCTCAGAGAAGGCTGGTCAGTGCTGCCACACTGAGGGAGACGAGGGTGGGAGGCCCCCTGGAGCCGCTCCGGCGAGTGGGGAAACGAGAGGTTAACACCAGCGCCCCGCGGAAGGCCCGGGCCCAAGGGGGCGGCGGCGGGCTCCGGGAGAGCAAGCGCACTCCTGCAGGGGCGCCGCGGGGGCTGGCGGGGCGGGCGCCCGGTCAGCGGGGCTGCACAGGCTGCCGCGCCGACCCCGTCCCGCTCTCGGCGCCCGTTCGCTTCCCCCGCAGCAAGGCTTTCGGAGCGGCTGCCGCGACCACCCATCCGGCCTGCCGCACAGCCCTGGAGCTTGCGCCTCGGGAAGGGCAGCGTCCCTGCTGGGCGCTCGGGCTCCGTCTCCGCGAGGCCGCAGGATGCGCCGTCTGGGCAGCCGGGGAGGAAGGCGGCCCCGGAGGCCGTCGGACCCCGCGGG